CTATAAATTTTATGCAGCCAATAGAATTGGTGAAGATTGGCTTATTCAAACATAGGCATTTGAAATACACCAAGATTAAGTAGATGCAAAAGTGTGTAGAATGCTTTGCCAGGTGCAGTAGACCCAGAAAACCACATTCTGTCCCAGTTAATTTGCTTTGTGGCATGAAGCTGTGTGATGGAATGTTAATGTCAGCAACCTCTTTATTTACGCACCAAGGCAAAAGGAGTAGTAATTAACACTTTGACACTCCCCCATTGATGTGTAATTGACTGTTTCAAAGGAGCACTGGTTCATAAGCTATTGCATGCATTAAAATTGCGTTTTCTATATTGCAGCATTTTAAGACAAGGGTCAGTGACAATGCAGAAATTGCTCAATGATGCACATTTTTTTATTACTGCATTAAGGTTTTGACATATTAGTAATGAATAAATGTTTCCATAAAATTAGATTTTTTATAACTTTAAATGAAATATGACACAGAACACCATGACTTACTCTTTGAAAGTAGTATTCTAGTTTTATGAAACAAAGCATGACTTCCTTCTCATCTTTAACTCCTACTTCACCAGCTTAAGAGTTTGATTTTTAAAATGGGTATAAAAGGCTTTATAAAGTATGGTTCTTGTTTTACAAAGCAATGAATGACTTTAATCATCAATATGAGATGTTTTTAGAGACAAGTTTTCATAGGTAAGATACTGGTTTTATATAATTCATTTTAGAAATAGTTCATTCCTCTATAGATTTTTTCACTTATGCTAAGGTTGTAACTGCACAAAGAGTAGCAGTAACCTTGATTTTAAAGAGTATTTTGGTTAATATCTTAGAAATATAAGGAGGTTTTTATCATTCATCGTATTGCAAGGAAACAATATGGCCAAAGAATTGGGAATGTTAAGAAATTTTTGAGAATCCAGTATTCTCTGATAGGAAAAAATTCCCAATATATTACTTTATTGTGCTAACTGGAAATCAAATTCCCTAATTTGCTTTTGTTTTGGGTATACCTATTAATTTTCTTCTATATTAGATATTTGTTTATAGAAGATGCTTTTGAGAAAACATTTTATTAAATTTGTGTTTTGTGTTTTATAGATGTATTGCTAGACATTTATTATAGTTGAAAGATTACAAATGTCCAGATGCCACAGGTAGCATCTGTTTGTCAAAACGTTTTTTTATTAATGCTGACACCACTTGGGCCAACGGTATCATTGTCTTGTGTCAACTGAATTGCCCTAACATGTTCACATGTAATCTGGTATTATTCAGTTGCTACCTTTTTGCTTCAGAAAGTTAATCAGCATCTGATTTGCATTTGTTAATTAGGGTTAATGTGCACTAATTGATTTTTTGATGCTTGTAGATTTCCATTAAACCCAGTTAGCAATACTTACTTGTGTACCTCATTCGTTTGAGTTATGATGATCATGTTTTTGTTGAATCTGTGCCAAATAGGAAGCCTGCATCATAATTACAGCTAATTAATAGATGATCATGCCCTATATTAATGGGCTTCCCTAGTCTTCTACTAATGTATGAATGTTATAAATTTCAAATTTATTTATGGAGTGTTTAAATAACTTTTTTTTTTAAATACAGATTTTAGGCCCTGAATTAGTAGAGGGCACATAATTATTTACTGAGTTTACATAATTTGAAAGTTCAAAGAAAAGGAACATGAAAACAACTCAAGATAAGTTTTAGAAACTTGTTTTTATTAATATATTATCAAAACAAGTATATGTGATACTTGTGTTTTAATTCTTCTGTTTAGGACCAGTTTATAATTTGGGTAACTAGAATTTGCAAATTATTTTGTATTGTCTTTTTTTTCATACTGGGGATTGGACCCCGGGTCACTTTATCACTGAGCCACATCCCCAGCCCATTTGTTTTGTTGAGACAGGGTCTCCTTAAGTTGCTGAGGCTGGCTTTAAACTTGTGATCCTCCTGCCTTGGCCTTCCAAGCTGCTGAGATTACAGGTGTTTGCCACCAAACCCAGCTGTCCTGTATTTTGTAAATGAAACTATTTTGTGGGTCTGAAACTGCCACTTTATAAGTCCTTTAATGTCTTTGCTCTTTGGTTTTCTTTTTGTAAAGTAAAAGCATCAGGACTAAAACTTGATAAGTTTTGTTCTAGGCTTAACAGTTGTTTGTGATCCAAATAAAGTATAACGGCATATTTTACTAAAAATTAAAAGGCAGGCTGGGGTTGTGGCTCAATGGTAGAGCGCTTGCCTCTCGTATGTGAGGCACTGGTTTTGATTCTCAGCACCGCATATAAATAAAGAAAAGAGAGTTCATTGACAACTAAAAAAAATGTTTTTTAAAAATTTGAATTTTTTTAATTATTTTCTACTTCAGCTTTATAAAGAACAAGTATCACTGCTAATGGTATGGTTTAATTTTATTAACTAAGTATATTGGCCTCTAATGTTTAAATGATAAGCACATTTTGGTTTTCATTTGTAAGTATTAAATCCAAAGTAACCTGAAGGGAAATTGAATGTTTTATAACTGACAATGTTTATGAAAGTATTTAAAATTCACATTTACTAGTAACAGTGACACAGAACAAGTTAATATATATATGTAAGGAATCCTGTGTGTTTAAATAACTAATAGTGAAAATAAGCTTAGGTACTTTAACTATGAAATGTATTTTGATTTTATCTACTAAAATATATAAATAAAAAATGTGAAATGTTCAAAACTTCCAGGGCCTCATTATTTATAGTCCATTCTTAACTTTGAACCTATCAGTCACCTGTGGCAGTGACTTCATTATAGGGTCACCTTGTGGTCTGCAAAATTAAACTGTGTAGGTCTTTAACTAGTATGGATACTTATTAGGCTTCACTATCTTTATTCAGGCCTTTTACATGAACAGAATATGGCAAAAATGAGACTACTTACTTTTATGGGAATGGCAGTGGAAAATAAAGAAATTTCTTTTGATACAATGCAGCAGGAACTTCAAATTGGAGCTGATGATGTTGAAGCCTTTGTTATTGATGGTAAGGCAATTAGAACATTTTATTTCTTCTATGTGGAATGTAAGATTTTGATCTTGAAATGAGCCTTGTGCAGATGAAGCTAGATTCTTTTGTTGCAAATGTGTATGTTTAGTAAACAACTAGGTATATTTGTAATAGAATGAATTCAGTAGGTATGTAAATAATGTGGGTTTTGATGTTCTAGCTCCTGAAATTGTATAGAATCAAGTCCTTTAGGCAGTGTAGTGTTGTGGTTAAGAGCATAGATTTTAGTATAACACCTACGTTTGAGACCAGGTGTTATTACAAAAAGGAAATGGTTAATAGGAACAAAGTGTAGAAATAGAACCTTCTTTCCCTGACAGTAGTATTATAAAGTGGTTTAACTGTTAATCAGGAATTTTTTTCCCTGAACTTTCAAAGTTTATACATTGAGGGGATTGTGCAATTAAGATAAGTGTACAGAACTATTGGTATTGTTTCTTCTAATGATCTTGATCTCCAGTGGTCATATAAGGAAGTAATATCTTGTAAGGAAGTTCATTTTTTTCCACCATATATAAGTGCAGGGAGAACAACTAGAATCTTAATAAAAACTCTGAGCCTGTAATCCCAGTGGAAAGAGGATCACAAATGCAAGGCCAGTTTCAGCAAATGAGCAAGACCCTGGTTCAAAATAAAACTGGGGATGTAGTTCAATGGTAAAGAACCTCTGGGTTCTATCTCAAGTGCCAACCCTGCCCTCCCAAACTGTGTTAGTGAATATTTATTGGGTGTATGTAACCTTTCTCTTTGTTACATCATATTGTTTGCTCATTATATTCAAAGAGTTGGTTTGTAAAATAATGTTGGTTAACAGCGTAAAGTTTTATTATGACCAGTTGGACATACCCTAGCAGTTTTTCTTGAAATTTTCTATATAACATTATCATGTAAAAATATATATATATATTTTTTTCCAGCGGTAAGAACTAAAATGGTCTACTGCAAAATTGATCAGACTCAGAGAAAAGTAGTTGTCAGGTAAGACATTTAATACTTGCAGCATTTTGTAGAACAATTTAGTTTGTTCTGATTATTTCATTTAAATGTTTAGAGAACCAAGGTGGTGTTCTTATCAGTTGACTGTAGTTAAATAGTTGCTATTTATCATAATTTTATTAAAGTTCAGACTGAATGTGATTAGCTTATTTAATGAAAGAGTCCTATTTTCCAGCACATTTCATTTAATGGCTGAGCATTGGCTAGAATACTAATGACTTTTGTGTCTGCTTTATATAGTTGTTCAGGAGAATAGAAGGTTTCAGATCAGTGTGGTAAAGATGTTTTTAAAATAAGTGTCTAAAATTCTCTTATAAATCTAAATCATGCCTTATACTTAACTTTGCTTTTAATTAGATTCAACTGTGAGTGTTATAAAAAGAATATCAGAGGATAAAAGGTTGACTAATGCATTGTTTTTAATTTTTCAATTTTTAGTCATAGCACACATCGGACATTTGGAAAACAACAATGGCAACAACTGTATGACACACTTAATGCCTGGAAACAAAACTTGAACAAAGTGAAAAACAGCCTTTTGAGTCTTTCCGATACCTGAATTTTAATGTAAATAATTTTGTTCTTTGGGGAGAAAAATCAAAACCTTAGTAAAACATTATAAACTAAAATTTTGACTAGTCTGGGCATTTATTGTCTCAATTCTAAAGAAAAATCACAAACCCAGAGGATAGAAAGTAACACATTATAAAGGGTCACTTTGTTTTTTATATATAATGACCTAAGTTCTGTAAGGAAGAATACTAAAGGAACAAGCAGCACTTTGAAAGAAATACATAGAGAAGGGAAGACAAAAGTTTGAAGTTAAAGTTAATTGGGTGCTTAAGAGCAAACTGCAAAATAAAGGCAGCTATCTTAAATGGTTTATTTGCAGAACCAGATAACATACAATTTTAATAACGACAGAAACAAAGTTGGAAGACAACTGTAAAGCTTTAGGTGTAAGTTATTTTATTCTGGTAATAACCGTGCCAGTGTTCCAGTTTCATTTCACTACTGAAAGTATCTGTTAACTTCACTTAATCTATCTTTTCAAACATCTCTTCAGCTTTTCTTTTTTTGAATTGGTTGCCATTTTCTAAGCTTAAAAACTTTTCAGTTATCTGATTTGTCATGAGGCTCTTCCAGTTGTCGATACCAGAAAGGGCAGCCAGATCAGGAGCATCTTTGACCTTGATTGCCTGAAAATGGCTTTGTAGCACAGTGGAAAGCAGAGGCTTTGCTTTGACCTAGGAAAGATAAGTCTGTTTTACCATTTAAATTTTACAAATGACTTTTTATAAAGAATCCTTTTAGCCTCTGCAATTACATTAGATGATAAAAGCCAAGGTTTTCATGCTGATTTACAATTACTTTAATAATATTGGTACAATACAATATATAGTACCTCTTCAAAATATAAGATATTCCAAGGATACCACAATTATTTTCTAAAAGGTCTTGAGTTTATGGTGGAAGGTATTTAAAAAAATTATGAGGTAAAAATTAGTTTGATCTTCTATATCCTTTTCAAATGTCTTTCATCAAAGCTAGGAGAAAATAAAAATTCAGACAGAAACAACCTATAAAAACTGCCTTTTCATGTTTCCTCTCATGCTTCAGTGTACTATTGTTGAAGAAACAGGAAAGAGGAATGAGGTATTTTTGAAGTTGGCATGTCTCCAGGAACTAAACTGCCATATTTATACTGTGTTTAAAAAATAACTTTTGTTTTAAAGATTTTTTTCCCCCTGATAAAATACTGGACGTTCAGAAAATGGACAAAAAAATTTAAAAAAAAAAAAAAAAACTTAAAATCATTAATCCATTGCCCAAAGAAACCTGTCAATACTTGGGTATTGTTTATGCCATTCTTTTTTCTGGTTTTAGCATATTGATTGTTCTGTAGAATTTTCTATTTTGCTTTTCTTCTGTGAGCAGTTTTCTGGGTCTTAAATTTTTCATGAATAACTCTTTAAGTGGCTGCAAAATAGTCCCTGTACAATTCTTCAATTGAATGTTTACATTATTTGCAGTTTATGCCTCTTAAAAATAAGACTGAGGTAATTTCATGGAAAAGAATCTTTGGTCTTCACATACATTACTAGATAAAATCTTCTATTCAAAGGGAATATTAAATGGCTTTAAGATAATAGTTACTGTGTTATTTTGTTATTATCAGGGAAATAATGAGTATTTTAGAAATATGAGTTAACATTCAAATCACCTAAGATCCCAATCACCATTACATATTTTGATGTAAATGTACTGATCTTTTTAGACTTAGATCATATTTTTATCAGTTTACATAGCTGTGTTGAAAAGCATTTTATCATCTCCTGTTCTTTTTTTTCTTTTTTAAAGAGAGAATTTTTTAATATTTAATAATATTTATTTTTCAGTTTTTCGGTGGACACAACATCTTTATTTTATTTTTATGTGGTGCTGAGGATCGAACCCAGCGCCTTGCGCATGCCAGACGAGTGCGTTACCACTTGAGCCACATCCCCAGCCCTCCTCCTATTCTTTAAAGTCTTTTAAGAAGATGTTTCTGTCCCATTGTTCCATATTTAATCCATTTTTGGACACTGAAACTGTAGATCAGGCTATAATTAGTATCATTTGTTCATAAATTCTTATCAAAAATCTGAGTATTGCTTTACATTAAAATCTTTTCCAGGGCTGGGGTTGAGGCTCAGTGGTAGGGTGCTTGCCTAGAACGCATGAGGCATTGGGTTTGATCCCCAGCACCACATATAAATAAATAAAATAAAGGTCCATTCACAACTAAAAGATTAAAAAAAAAAAAAAAGTTATTGTGTCCATCTACAACTGAAAATTTTTTTTAAAAAAAACTTTTTTCAGTTTTATTGGTAAAAGTGGCATTAACATCATTTTCATTGTGAAATATTTTTTACATGAGCTTAAATGTTTGTTAGAATTTAACCACCATTCCCTAAGAGAGTGCTCTGTTTGGCTCCCTGAAAAATTCTACCAGTCCCCTCTAAGCTTTGCCTCTGATTTTGGGGTTGATACTTTTGTATTTGTCTAATTGCTAATGTTCTTTGAAAAGGGTCAAGGTCACTAAGAGACCATAGACAAGTCATTCCAATTTTTATGGTCCTCAGTTTTCTCATCAGTTTCTTTTACCTCCCAGATGCTATTACTGGAAAGAATGAGTAGTATGGAATAAACATGTTCATAGATGAGTATATTTCTGATAATGGTCTGATAATATGTGTTCAATATACTTCCATCAGATCAAAATGGATTCTAAGTGACCCATATGATAGACAAGATAAGGAAAGATAGGTAAAATCTAAATCTAATCTTGAAGTCAAATGATTGTTGAGCTGTGTGATTAAATGGCCCAAAATGCTTGATTAAGGTTTTTTGCACTTAGCCTGTCCTATATAGCATAAGAGGTTTCTACCGCCAACTGCAATAATTTTAGTTCCACATGTTGGCACATTTCTTTGCTCTTTCCCTTCTTTTTTAGCAATTTATTACCTCCTACCCTTAACATTTCCCCTAGCTTGGTACTAGTCCTTTTATTTCAGCCTCAGAATTGAATGAATAAAATATATAGCTCTGAATCCTCTCTCCATCCTCATTCCTGGATGTGATAAGATTATAGCACACTACCAACCTAAATCCAAGAATAAGAACAAAAAAATTGTATCTTTTCAAGTTGCTCTAAAGCCATATGGAAAAGTGGATTTGCTCCTAAATTTAACAAAATTGGTGTGAAGAGTGTATAAAAATGTTAAAACATAAAAATTGTTTTCCTTTTCTGGCTATAAATACAAAATTCATTTGTGTTCATTTACAACAGATTTGGCAAACTTTTTCCCTGCCAAGAATCAGATAATATATATTTTGAGCTTTGTAGACTTTTCACAACTGCCTAATCCTGTCATTGCAGTGCAGAAGCAGCATTTGTAAAGGAATGGGTGTAGCTTTGCTGTACTGTTTTAACTTACTAGGAAGATTTACTTTGATTTTGTCCCATGTTACATGTGCTGAGAATTGAACCCAGTGCCTCACACATGTTAGGCAAGTGCTTAGAGCACTGAGCCACAACTCCAGCTCCATGTACCAGTATTTTTGAGAAGAAATTTTTCTATTATGAAAGTTGAAAAAGCGTAATTCAACATTTGATTAAGAGCCAAGACATCTAGCATAGATTCACTGCAGATAATGTCTCAATGACCTTGGAAAATAATTTTACTTTTTATATCACTGTTTCCTCATCTGCAAAATAGAAAAAAGAATGTATTTACCTTACAGGATGTTGTGGGAATGTTTCTTTCAAAAGGTTATAAATTCTACAAATGTAAATTTTTAAAAATAACATTAATTGCAGGAAGAAAACTAGGAATTAGACACAAAGAACTTCCATATTAGGTTACTTATAAAAATGGACTTTGAAGGAAATTGTGAATTTTTCATCATCCCCTAAGATGTTTGAAGGTAGAATGTGGGGTGTTTTTTTTTTTAATATTTATTTTTTAGTTATAGGTGGACACAATATCTTTGTTTTTATTTTTTTATGAGGTGCTGAGGATTGAACCTGGTGCCTCACGCATGGTAGGTGAGCGCTCTACCTCTGAGCCACAACCCCAGCCCATATTGTGGTTTTGATCTAATTAGCAACAGGGTATCTAGCTTTGCTCTCTAGCTTCCTTTTTGCTTTAACTCTGACTTATCCAATTGACCAAGACCAGAACCTAGGTTTTCCAGTGCCAGATTTACTGATCTCTATTATAAATACATACTTGTACACACCAACCTGAAATTAGACTGCTGTTTTCCAGTTTCTAAAATGTGAAAAGTTGAAATGCATTTTGCTGTCATATATAACTAATTAGGAAGAAAAAGGACAGATCTGATTTTTTTGTTTCAGCTCTGCCAAATAAGAATTATGCTATCTCATTTGAGGTTCTCCAATTAATAAAGTACATTGTTAAAAGTTGTTACTTATTAAGGATGTGTTAGTGCTATGGTTTTTTTGTACATGCTAAAGAGAAAGCTGTCTCTCAAATATAAAATATACAGTAACTTTAAAATCTCATTGTGCAGTTGGTTGTTTATAAATAACATTTTAGATCATCTTTGTCAGTTGTACTTGTCTTTTAAGACTTGAACAGTACAGACTTTTTGCTAAAGTTCTGCACAAGATATAGAACTTAATAAATTTAACCAAATAACCTGTCAGCTGTAGTTAGTTGCTTTTCTTTATGACAAATGGACTCCTGGGAACCATATGAGCTGTACAAATAACTTCAGTATATACATTCATACTTACTATCATCACATTATGGATATTTTATACTTTTACACTGTATTCTATTTTTTTCTGTTTCCAAAGATAATATAAACTAAATAAGGCGTTATTAAAAACTAGACTTGCTTAGCTTATTTTTAAGCGTCTTTATTATAAAACTTAAACACTAAAATGTCACTATTTCTAAACTTAAGTGACTAAAAAGTACAAGTACATAGTATGATGCCTCATCCTCTCCTTCCCCAAACAGGCTGGATTGTATCTATTTGATTTATACACTGTGACTTTTTCCTGCTGTTTTCTATCAACCTTAATTGTGAAAAATGGTGCCATGTTGCCCTCTTGATATTATTTTGGAGATCAGTTAGGTCTTAAAGCATCCAGATGCATACAGTTCTACACATATCTGTAGAATTAGCTCACTAAGGTCTGCTCGGCAATATTTTTAATTGACTTACATGTTCTGTGGGAAAAGAGGAATCATAAAAAGTCTTTGCAGTTGCATTCCTCTCTTCACTGGGCTCTCCCTTGGGATCTGGATGGATACTCCAGTTATTCAAAGTGTCAGCAACTCTGTTAATGGTGGTAGTATCTGATTGACAAAGAGGAAATGGCAACAACTGAATTTTATTCTCTAGGCACTCATTTTAGTGACTGAACTTTCTCTCTCATCCTGTGCTTTTGTATTTAAAAAGCAACAATTTCTCTTTACTATGAATCTTATAGTTTTCCTAGACTTTCCTCTTACACTAAGCATTTCATTTCACAAAACAAGATTTTATTATTGCTCCTTTATAAGACCTAATCACTATAATTTCACATAAAAAAATAAGGTGGTATAAATACCTTCTAAAATAAAACAACTAAAATACTAGCTTCCCTTCCCCCATTACTACGTTGCCCACACACACATAAACATTTATAAAATGACCATTTTAAGTTTGAACAAGCTCAGTGCCAGATTGATAAACTAATTTGAAGAAACTGGTTGTAGTAACAAGCCCTCAAAAAGGCTATTTAAAAAAGAGATCAGTGACTTTAATAAACAGGTTAAATAAATCAACAGTAAAAATTAGAAGATAACAGTATTTAATGAGTATTTTACAAGTTCAATTTCTACAGAATGCTAGACATTTCTCCTTAATATCTAATATAACTGAAATGTAACTTAAGAGGAAAGAACCTCTGAAAAAACAGAAAGTGTTACATCAGACCCTAAAGCAGCAATTGACTAACTCAATAGAATATGAAGTAAACTTTTATTATATTAAAAAAATGACAGTTTGGGAAATGAGGTTATATAGTATTTTGGTGTTTTCTGTTTTCCTCTACATTCCTTCCTACTGGTGCTAGTAAAGGTGTGATTATTTTGGTTTTAATCCCCAAATATTATTTAAATTTTTTTCTCAGTTTGCTTTGTAAAAGAAACCTGTTTAATCTGAGACCATAAAAAGCAGGATGTCCTTGTAATACACATTTCTTTAATGGGTCTAAATGTACATTGTTAAACCCAGTTTTCTGTGTGTTGCTGCATGCTTGTAATCAAGAGGCTAAGGCGGGAGGATTGCAAGTTCAAGGCCAGTTGGGGCAATTTAACAAGACTCCATCTCAAAATATAAATTAAAAAGGGATGGGGATAGGGACTGAGGTTGTGGCTCAGAAGTATTGTGCTCACCTAGCATGTGCGAGGCCCTGGGTTCTATCCTCAGCACCACATAAAAATAAATAAAATAAAGGTATTGTGTCCAACTACAAATAAAAAAATATTTAAAAAAGACAAAAAGGGATGGGGATATAGCTCAATAGTAAAGTGCCCCTGGGTTCAACCCCAGTACCAAAAACAAACAAGCAAAACTTATAGAATTTCTTTTTTTTAACACTCTTGACAACTTTATGAGATAGCTATTAGCAAACATTTTTTCTCATAATTACAAATTATTGCTTTTATCTTCAATTTATTTAAATTTGAACATAACAGGTACATAAGTGTTTATATACTACCTATTAGCATGTTTTTAAATATTAAAACTATGAAAAACACATTGATTATGTGAACCTCAATGTACCTACAACCAACTTCAACATCAATATTAAGTAATGTAAGTTCATCTAACAGCTCCCTCCTACTTTTTTCCTAGAGTATTTTAAAGCAAAACTTGGACACCATGTCACTTCATGTGCTTATTTTTAGGAATAAAACAGCCCCTCTGCTCTGAAAGGTGTTTAAATTTGAACATAACAGGTACATAAGTGTTTAAAGAGTGACTGATATCAATAATATAAACTGTGATGCTTCACTTGCTTATAAAATGAGAAGAACAAAATGAATTTGTGGTGGTGCTAAAGGAACAGATATTAGAAAAACTGAAGGAAAGGAGAAAACTAGGAGATGAAACTGACATAGAAATTATAATGTGGTTTTGAGGGAAAGAAGTTTTTAAAATTTTTTATTGGTGCATAATAATTATGAATAATAACCGGATTCATTATGACATTCATACATGCACATAACTTCAATTTGGTCAATTTAATTCCCCAGTACCTCTGCTTGCCCTCCTTCCCACTGATTCCCTTCCTCTACACTACTGGTCTCTCTTCTATTCTCATGAGATCCCTTTTCTTGGGAAGGAAATCTTTAAGGATGCTGAGAGTATATAGAGAGAAAAGGAGTAAACATGCACATTGTCAGAACCCTTAGTCACTAAATTCATTTGCTCTAAAAAGTAAAAAATCAGATTAGGTAGTTATTCCTAACTGTTGGTTGTTTTTGCTTTTCTTGATAATGGTAGGAAAAAAAAAACTTTAAAAAAATTTCCAAATGTGATTGTACATTAATAATACTGTACAAGGTTAAAAGAAGCCCACTTACATTTAAATAAAATCTTTCCTGCTTTTACATATCTATGTGTTTGCAGTATATTAGCTTAGGGGCAAAATCATTTTCATTGAACACAATCTTTTTAGAGACTTAATAAAGAATAATAATTAGTAAAACAAATTTGGGGAATTAAAATATAACCTTATTTTCTTACCCGGTCCAATATCCTTTCTGTCATCATCCATACCAGCTTTTTCACAAATGGCCATTGAAACTCTCGTTTTATTTTCTGTTGGACCTACTGGTCTCTCTTTCAGCAACAAAGGAATGCTAGAAGTTGAAGTGTTCACTGTTTGACTCTCAGTTTGATTTACTTTTGACCAAGGATCAGGGTCTAAAAAATTCATGTATACTGGAGTTTTCTCAGTTTTTTTATCTGAAGTGAAAAGATCAAAGGTTGACCTTCCACTTCTGTTTACTAAATCACCAGATGGCTTTATGTGAAATGAATCTGATTCTTCCAGCTGACCTTCACTGTACATTTTTCCTGAAACTATGCCATTTAATGACTCTTTTTTCTCTGTGTTATTTAACAACATATGCTGTGTTTCGTTCACATTTACAAAAAGGAAGAGGTCATTTTTTGTGACTTCAGTTATCTGATTCTCATCAATCTGACTCTCATTGGAAAACTGTATTTCTTTGGAAGTTTTCATATGAACATCAGTTTTGAAATCTTTAGCTTGTGAAGTATGACTATTCTCATCATTAACCTGAAGATGGGAAATGGTGATATTGTTTTCTAAATATCCCAAACAGTTCTTAAATTGATGATTTTTCATATCATTCATATTTTTCCACACAACTCTTTCTCCGGGGATTGAGCTGAATTTCTCCAATGTAGGTGTAATATTAATACTGTTATCTGTATTCTTAAGTGCTTTCACATTATCACCGAAGGCAGCAGATGAAATGAGATGGTTGATTACTACATCACAGGGAGGAATAAGTTCAGTTTTCTCTGAAGTATCTTGACATATTTGCTGAATATTTGAAGTTTGTTTAAAAGGTAATATGCTGTATTCACTTTTTTTATTGAATAGTTGTATTTGTTTTATTTTACACTGTTTATCATCTAATATAATATGAGTTGAATCCTGTGAACTATACTTCTCACACTGACCAGGAATCATTTTTATATCTGGAGATGAATCTAAATCTGTTTTGGTTTGGGCGCTATTAATAATTTCCTTCCCTGTAGCATTTTCTTGAGTCTCCAGGTGCAATCTGAATTGTTGTTCAAATGGTTTATGTTCAGAAACTTCTTTATTATTCCTATTGCAAGCTGTCTCATTTACAACACTGTTAAACGAGGCTCTGTTATTTTCAATTTCCAGATGTATATCTGTGTGATGAAGATCTAATCCTTCCATTCTTTCTAAGGGTATTTTTTTGGTTTCTGTTGATAGATCCATCACTAAAAGTGGATTATTTTGTGCTTTAAATTCTGTACATTCATTGTCTTTTTCCACGACTACCTTGTATTTTATTTCTGCAGTAACTGATTCTCTACAGTGAGTAACATTCACAGTTTGTTTTTGACTAATTACATCTTTATCTAGGTAGAGGGCTTTGCTTAGGGAGATTTCACTTTGATTTTCATCCTGAGAGACAGTAGTATTAATTTCATTCTTGACACTTTTTTCAAAAAGCTGTAAACCTGTCATGATGAAGACACAATTAAATTTTATTTTATATACTAATGCTTTTATAAAACATGTATCACCGGTATTTGTAAAAACATTTATCCTTATTTTACTGACCAATAATTACACAAACATAACAATGTCAATTTTACATAAATATTGAGTTCTCTTGAGTATAACAAGCATATATTTAGATGCTATCTATTCAACTTTTCTCTATTGAATTTTTATTATATAACAGCAAAAGTATTTTTTTTAAAGAAAGGGGAAGTAAGCTGGGGTGCTACAACATGTTTTTTTTTTATATCTCTTATCTATTGTTGTTTGGACACATAACACAATCTTATAAACACAGAGCTGATAAAAATTAATCTATTCTGATAGGTTACACTCTAATTTCTACTATACCCAGTCCAGCAATTGTGCAGAAGAAACTGCCTTCTTTGAATCTAACAACTGTCACTTTTTTATTTACTACCCTATAAATATTTTTAAATTCTGGAAGAGTTCTGAGCAAATGAATAGGATATCTACTTGACCAAGACATTAATTTTATTCCTCTGTGTTCTAACCATAGATAACAAATCTTAAGTATAGATAAAATAATCTAGAATTAAATTTAAGGTCTTGAAGGGCCTTTTTAGTCCATTCTTTCTCCAACATCTCCACCAAGTGGTTGTTCACCTTCAATCAGTACCATCTTTAAACAACTATTTTCAAAATGGAAGCATTAGTAAATAATTTCAATAAAGAGGGTCATTTGAATTAAGAAAAGTGCACTAGTCATTCATCAGAAAGCTATTGGTGACCCAGAGAACATTCTCAAAGAAATGAAGGCAAAATAAGAATGCAAAAATAGGTCAAGGAATAAGAAATGAGGAGAGGCAGAAATAGTACCCTTTCCCAAAACTATTGATAAATATTGACTGTTTGAAGGTTGCTTGTTTTCTTGACATATGCAAATGAAAAGACTATCCTATGTGGTCCTCAAAGCAAAGACTATAATCAATATTCCCTCAAATTCCATAGAGGGCCCTGCATGGTGCTTTAGCAGTTCCTTTGTGGTGGGGAGGGAATCTCAATACACAAGTTAGAATTAACCTTAATTTTATGGTTACCTTCTGTGATGATTTCTTCTATAGGTAGGTCTTTCTTTTCCTCCTCTTCTCTATCTTCAACATCTGAATAAAAACTCTTAGTATTTTCTTCCATTATTTCTTGCCCAGAATTGTATTTCTGTATGATGGCATTTTCTGATTTTTTAGTTCTTTCACTGTTTTCATTATTTATTTCTGGAACATTCTATTGTAAAATGAAAGAGAGTCCTTCAATGTAAAAAAAATTGTTAAAAAGTATAAAACAATTGGGCAAATTTTGTTGAGAGAAGAGGAATCTGTATTTCAACTCAACTATTCATCAATTTCTATTTGGAAACCAGACAAACTTACTTTATACTATTTAAACAAAAAACCCTTAAACATGTTGCGTGCTAAGGAGTTCCAACCTTACCAGGAAGACACGGAGAAGTCACTGAAGAACTTTTAAGCAAAATAACATGATCTGATCAGAAAGATCACTCTGGCTGCAATGTAAGAATGGATTAATATCCCCAAACTTCATTAACTAAAACCAGCCACGAGAATGTTTATAACTCAGTGAGTATACCAAAATATTTCCTATGATACACTGATGTTTTCTATGCTACTTTATTTTTAGCACAAACCACTAGTCAAATTTTCATGAATCACTGATAGGTTGCACCTAGAAATCTGAGAAACAATAAAAGGGAGACAGTACCTGAGGCAGAGAGATGCATCGGAGAGTGCCATAGTAGTCTAGGTGATACCAGTATAGAGGAAGAGTGATCAATAGTCTCTTAAATCATTATAAACTAACAGCAATAAGATTTGGTCAACATTTAAATGTGAGGATTGAGAGGGAAGTTAAATTACTCAAAAAGTTTACATTGTGTAAGTGACTGGGATGTCAGTCACTGAGCTACTAGAAAGCAGGAGTAGCAGATCTGATGAAAATACAAATTCAGTTTGAACCTGTTTAATTTGAAGAGTTAGTAATACAATTACAGTGGTGATGTGAAATTAATATTAGATTATGAATGTGAACTTAAGAGATAAAAATGACCTGCAGATGTAGATCTGAAAATTAACAGCAGGTGCACAGCAATTGAAGATGGGGGTATTTTGAGGGGGGAATAAAAAGGACAAAGGATAAAATGCTGATGAAGGGGCTGGGGTTGTAGCTCAGAGGTAGAGCGCTTGCCTAGCACATGTGAGGCGCAGGGTTCGATCCTTAGCACCACATAAAAATAAATAAATAAAATAAAGGTATTGTGTCCAACTACAACTAAAAAAAATATTTTTAAAATATTGCTGATGAAGTCTTCCAAGGGAAAGACAGAAGAAGAGACTCTTACAAAGGAAATTGAGAAAAATATTATGGTAGTTACCAGAAACAGTGTGGTTGGATAAATATGGGTGCACATCCTGGTTTTCATATATATTAGTTTTGAGATCCTAGAAGGAAACTTGTAGTGGTTATGAATAAACAAAATTTGGTATACCCATACAGTGGAGTACTATTCTACCATAAAAGGAGTGAAGTTCTAATACAGGCTACCAAAGGATGAAGCTTGAAAACATTATGCTGATTGAAATGAGCTAGAACAAGAAGATAAATACTATATAAACACTATATGATTCTACTTACATAAAATATACAGAATAGGCAAATTAGAGTCAGAAAGTAGATGAGAGAGTACCAAAAATGGGGTGAGGGGAGCATGGGGATTTACTGTTTAATGGTTACAAAATTTCTGTTTGAAGTGATGAAAATGTTTTGGAAGTAAGACAGCAATGATGATTGCATAACATTGCAAATGTAATTAATGCCACTGAATTTTAAGTTTAAGTGTAGCCACTTTAAAATGGCACACTTTGTATTATATATTTTACCACAACAAAAGAAACTGATAAATAAAAAGGACTACAAAATATCACAAAAATATTATCTTAATTTTTAAAGTATCTTATATGAATATTTGTGTGTTTATTTCTATATGAACACATGTATAGAAAAATTCTTGGAAGGTTCATCTATCAAAACTTCGGCAATTATTATTTCTGGAGGTGATATTATGAATGACCTTCATTTTCATATTTTATTTTTTAGTTTGTTCTAATTAGTTACACATGACAGTAGAATCATTTTGACACATCAGACATAAGTGGAGTATAACTTCTCATTTGTCTGGTTGAACATGATATAGAGTTACACAAGTCATGTAATCGTATGCACAAAGGGTAATAATGTCTGATTCATTCTACTAACATTCCTACAAACACATGGAATGCTTCATGAATTTGCATGCCATCCTTGTGCAAGGCCATGCAAATCTTCTCTGTAACATTCCAATTTTAGTATATGTGCTGCTGAAGGGAGCACTCATTTTCATATTCTAAAATTTCTACATTGTCTACATTTCTTAAAATGAAAACATTACTTAAGATCTGATAAAAGAGCTATTTTCAATTTGAAAGTAAATGGATGCTGAAAGATTTATTTATGAATGCAAGTTTGTATTCATTTCTATAAACAATCAGATGGTATAAGAATTTCTTGCCAGGCTGGGGTTGTAGCTCAGTGGTAGAGCACTTGCCTTACATGCATGAGGCACTGGGTTCAATCCTCAGCACCACATAAAAATAAAGAAAGAAAGATATTGTGTCCATCTACAACTAAAAAAAAATATTAAAAAAAGAATTACTTGCCATTCACCACTCTCAACCTGTATTTATGAATATTAAAATATTATCTTAATATTAAAATATTATCTTCTACTGTCATGTATAACTAATTAGAACAAATTTAAAAAATAATGATTCAGAGAAAGATAATATCTCTCTCTGGAGCCAGGAATAGTGGCACGCACCTATAATCCCAGTTACTTGAGAGGCTAAGATAGGGGGATAGCAAATACAAGGCCAGCCTTAGTAGCTTAGCGAAATCCTGTCTCAAACTAAAAATAAAAAGGGCTGGGGTCTGGCCCAGCGGCAGAGTGCTTGCCTAGCACATGCAGGGTTCTGGGTTCAGTCCTGAATGCTGCCAAAACAAATCTGCCTGCACTATTGCAGTGTTCTCCAACTTGCCACATCTTTAGTCTCATCTCATTCTAGTCTCTCCATATATATCATCACTAAAATCATCTTTCAAAACAGTGAATCTGATCACTTTACTCCTCTGCTTAAAACCCATAAAAAGAGGTAAGAACAAACTTCTACGAATGGACTATTCAGCTCTCTTTAGTCTGCTTTCTGCCTGTCTTTAAAGATTTTGTTCGTTAGCTTTCCATCACTGTGACAAAACACCTGAGAAAATTAACTTAAAGGATGAAAGATTTATTTTGGCTCCTGGTCTCAGAGGTTGCAGTCCCTGATTGTGTGGCCCCATCACTAGAGGCCTGTATTAGGGCTGACTGTCATGATGGGGAACACACAGCAGAACAGAACTACTCACCTCATGGCAGCTGGTAAGGAGCGATGGGAAAAGGGATGAGGATAAGAAGGAAAGAGAGGCAGGGGACAAGACACAGACTTCAAGGATGAACCCTAGTAGCCCATCTCCTCCCATTCTGCCCACTTTCTAAAGTCTCCACACTTCTCAACAGCACCACCAGGTGGGTATCAAGCCTTCAACACATAACCCTTTGGAGGACATTCCAGATCCAAATTTTAACAAAGATGAACCCTATCATTCAAGTTTACTTCCTAGGGATATTTTTTTTACATTACAGCCCCGGGGGAGGGAGAGGGTAGATATAAATCAAGATAGTCTTGCTTATTTGAGAAGAGAGATCCCAGAGATCAGAGTTAGGAGAAGCTGAGGTGGCCTCAATTTGTGAGGCAAAGTACTCAAGGTGAGGAAACTATGAAGAAAAAGAGCTGTAGAAAACTGCACAGTCTGTCGAAAAATTAAAGATACCCAAAATAAGAATCAAATGGAAATTCTGGAGATGATATGTATAGTATCCGAAATAAAAAGTTATTAGACTTAGTAGCAGCTTAGGCATTTTAGAAAGAAAAGTGGACTTCAAGACCCAATAATGAACAATACAGACTAGTGTAGAGAAAGAAAAAAGACTGAAAAAATTTTGCAGTAGAGCTTCAGTAATCTGTGGGACAACCTCAAGCAGTCTAACATGTGTACCTGAAGTTCCACAAAAGAAGAGGGGGACAGAAAGAAATAACTGAGAAACAATGACCCCGAATCCTCCAAATTTGACGAAAACTATACCTTGAATTTACAGATACAAGAAATTCAGTAAGTCTCAAATAAGACATATACAAAGATCATGCCAAGGTATATCAAAATTAAATTGTTTAAAAATGGTCATGAAGGAGTAATCTTAAAGGCACCCAGAAGTAAAAGACACTTATAAAGAGAGGGTATAAATACAAGATTTGTCCCAGTCTTCCTTCCAGAAGCAATACAAGCAAATAAACAAATTTGAATCTTCTATTATTAATTAACAAGAGAAAAAAACCTGTCTACCTAGAATTTTATATTCCATGAAAATATATATCATTTACAATTAAGGAAAAATAGGCACTTTTTTCAGAGAAACAAAATTTGAATTCCTTAACAGCAAATATGTACAAGAAGAAACATTAAAGTTCTTCAGGTTGAATGAAATATTACCTGGTAGAAAACTGGGTCCACACATGGGAATGAAGAATGACAGAAATGACAAGTGTGGGAGTGCATATAAAAAACTACATATTATTTTATTTTTCCTTGTTTTTTTTTTTTTTTTTGAGTATATGTGTGGTACTGAGGATTGAACCCAGCAGCACTCTACCTCTGAGCCACATCCCTATTTCTTTATATTTTGTATTTATTGAGACAAGGTCTTACTAAGTTGCCACTGCTAGGCTTGAACTTGTGATCCTCCTGCTGATTCAGTCTCACAGGTGACTGGCATTATAGGTGTGTGCCAGGCTAATTTTTACTATTTAAAGTAAAATTCCAAAAAATAAACCAAAATTAAAAACAATATTAGGACAGGGTTTATAACAAGTAGAGTAGCCTGGTACAGTGGCACATGCCTGGAATCCCAGCAACTTTGGAGGCTGGGGCAGGAAGATGGCAACTTAGCCAGCCTCAGCAACTTAGCAAGGTCCTAAGCAACTTAGTGAGACCCTATCTCAAGATTAAAATTACAATTTAAAAGGCTGTGGATGTGACTTAGTGGTAAAGCACTCCTGGGTTAAATCCTCAGTACCAAA